AAGAAAGAAAGGAAGGAAGGAAGGAAGGAAGGAAGGAAGGAAGGAAGGAAGGAAGGAAGGAAGGAAGGAAGGAAGGAAGGGAAGGAAGGGAAGGAAGGGAAGGAAGGAAGGAAGGAAGGAAGGAGGGAATGAATTAAGGAAGGAAAGAGAAAATTACAGGCAAATATCTCTGGTGAACATGTATGCAAAAATTCTAAATGAAATACTTGCAAACTGAATTCAAGAACACATCAACAATTATCCATCACAATCAGGTTGGCTTCACCCCAGAGATGCAGTGTTTTACTGTAAAGAAACACCCTGACCAAGGGAACTCTTAGAAAAGGAAGACATTTAACTGGGGCTTGCTTACAGTTTCAGAGGTTTAGTCCATTATCATCATTGACAGGGAGTACAGTGGCACACAGGCAGGCATGGTGCTGAAGAAGTAGCTGAGGGCTTTACATCCTGTTCCACAGGCAGCAGGCAGAGAGAGAGAGAAAGAGAGAGAGAGAGAGAGAGAGAGGCTGTTCCTGGTATGGACTTTTGAAACCCCAAAGTCCATCCAAGGACAAACCACACCAACAGAAACATACCACTTAATCCTTCCAAACAGTTCACCAACTAGGGACTATACTTTCAAATATATGAACCTGGGGAGGGGGCATTCTCATCCTAACCACCACATGCAGGTATGGCTCAACATACATAAATCAATAAATGCAACTCACCACATAAACAGAGTAAAGACAAAACTCACATGATCATCTCAATAGATGCAGAAAAGTCCTTGAAAAATACAACATCTATTCATTTTGAAAAACCCTAAAGATAATAAGGATACAGGGGACCTATCCTAACATAATAAAGGCAATACATAGCCCACAGCCAATCTCATCCTAAATGGAGAAAAACTCAAAGCATTTTCACTAAAATCAGAAACAAGGATGTCCACTCCTTCCCCTCTTTTTCAATATAGGCTTGAAGTCTGAGCTTGAACAATCAGACAAGAAGGGTACAGCTCAGAAAGGAAGCTGCTGTGTTTGTATTTGAAGATGTTATATTCTAGACACAAAATACTGTAAAGTCTCTGCCAGAAAACTGCAGCTGATACATTCCACAAAGTAACAGGATACAAAAATCATCACACAACAGTAGCCTTCCTACACACAAACAACAAACTCACCAGGAAAGAAATTGGGGAAACAATAACATTCAGAGTCACCTCAAAAATATTTGTGGTGACTCAGGCTGGAGAGATGGCTCAGCAGTTGAGAACACTTGTTGCTCTTGCAGAGGACCTAGGTTAGGTTCCCAGCACCTACATGATGGTTCACAACAATCTGTAACTCCAGTTCCAGGGACTCTTGTGTCCTCTTTTGACCTCCA